ATCAGGTGAACAAGGGATAGACGTAGGCAAGTTGTGTTTGTTTTATGAGAACGTTTATGGTTTCTACTAATTCTGACAAAGCTGATGTTATAAAACGAAACATCCCCTTTTTCTTTCCCCATAATTTAGATAAGTTTTCAGTGTGAGAATATGCTACTGCAGTAAAGAAAAGAAAAAAATTCATCATGCGTTTCACAACTCCGCAGTCAAGTTGAGCTCGCATAGTTTCATTGTGGCCCCAATAGTTTTTTTTCTTACCTTTGTTACATGAACAACTTTTAGTTAACATTTTAAAATTGATGGATATAAAATTGTAGATTCTTGTTGTAGTTTCGTTTTAGCTATATATCTTTCTGTAGACACGGGGGTAGAAGTAATTTTTGTGTGCATGATGTTTAATATAAGATGTTCAGGTTTTTTTTTTTTTTTTTTACTGCAATCTTGTGATACCTTTATGTGAGAAACAAGAAGTCCAGCACACCCTGAGCAACAAACAGAAAGGGCTAAGTTTAGGGGAAAAATAAAATTCACTGAACTGTGTAATACAAAAGTTATTTTTTCTTCCTTTTTTTGTTAAATGCAGTTGTGCACTTGTGGAGTGACGGACTATAAAGTGTGAAACTTCAGCCTTTGCACGTACATGAGACTCAATATAACCTAACCCAAGAACTTCCTCTTGCTGCTGCCCAGAAGTACAGAAAAACATATCTGTGCTCCTTTTTTCTCCGCCATGTTATCTCAGCCTAAATCTTGATCTCACTGTTGACTGCCAGATGAACTATTTGACAAAGTCTTGGTTCTGAGTAGGCGCAGCAGATCTGCAGCTTAGACTGAAGGCTTCTCCTGCACACGTCCTAACGAGCTCGCCTTCATACCGCATCTGAAGATCTCGTCTCATGTAGTTGTCCTAGAAACGACCTTCTGACATGTAGGAGAATTAAGCCTCCAGCTGTTACTGGTAAGCGACGTATCGGCTGTCAGACTGTGGGTGTTTGTAACACTCATTTCACTGCTGAGCTCAATGATCTAAGTTCACTTCACTTTAGAGAAAATGAATTATGATATAAAAACCTTTCTCTTGCTCATGGTAAGTTGTCAACCAATCAAAACCTGATCAAAAACATACATAAGCAGTTGTTGGTACTGCCTGCTTTGACATCAATGACAACTTGATGACTTTTTGGAAAACTGGTAAAGTTCTTAGACTGTTTTGATGGAAACAGGCGTTAGAAGGTTGAGCTGGACAGACAACAAAACCTTCATTTGTTTGCTCAGGGAAAGGTTGACTTCTTTGTTTTGCAGGAATTGCCAAGTACGTCCCATCTTGCTGTCAGTTTAGACTAAGATTTCTGTGCTTTTGTAGCTCAAATGTCCCCAGCTATCAATAATCATCCTAAATGTATTATGGTATAGTAAAGGTTGCACTTTAGTAAAGACTTATGACTTGAGATATGAAGTTACATTTTGGTCTTTTCACAATTTTGAGGCCTGTTTTGGTGTCGGTTAATTACGGCTTTTGTTCTTTCTTCTTCCTCTCCTGACCATGCAGGCGATTTTCATAGCGTCTCCTTAATATAACATTTAGACTTATTTCTTTAGAATCCTGCTTGTCACCTAAAGTTATTTATGTTTTCTTCCTTTTTTAGATCCAGGGATTTTTTTCTGACAGTTGCAGCTAATTCACTTCCATTTTTTTTTATTCTAACCTTTAATAGTAACCAATAATGCAATAACCGCCAATAAGATCATTTTGAACCAATACCAGTAATGTATCAAGTTATTACATTAAAAAGCTGAGCTAAAGGCTTATGTAATTACTTCAGCTGATAATGTGGGAATAAAATGGAAAATCTTTTTTTTTTTTTGCAGTTCACATATAACAATGGTTAATTATTTTTCATAGTCAACATAAGCTTTCAACAAGTGTATGTTCACTGTGTTACTATGAACTACATATATTGCCTTTATATATTGTATTATTACAGCACAGAATCTTTAAATAAAGTATCGGATGGATTTTTCTACAGAAATTTAATTTGAACATTGTGTAGTTCCTTAAATGTTTTCATGTATAATTCCATATATAGAGGAATAAAATTCAAATAATTATCATAAACTATGTTTGATAGTTTGAGATGTTGAGAATAGTAATAATTTGTTTACTTAGTGTATACTAGACAGTAACTGTGCCGTTTCTCATGTAATTGGATAAAAAAAAACACAATTACTGTGAAGTTATTATGCCATTGGCTTTATTGCCTTTAAATTGAGAAAAATTATCAAATTATTGACTATTATGACATTATTTGTTGCTACACCATCGCTTAGTATCAAAATTCTACTTTTTTTTTTTTTACATCATTTTCTTATAAAGTTTAACTATTTTCTCCCACAGAACTTTTGAAATATCTCTTTTCCAGACGGCTCAAAATCCTTCAACGTCAGTGGATGAGACATGCAGAAGTCCGTCATGAATCCAGAAAAATGTCCTATTTTTTAAATACTCACCAGATAACTAGAAGTGCACAAATCACAGGTGAAGCTGATGACCTTTAGTGTCTATTTAAAACCATGTGTATGAGGTTGATGGTACATTATCAAATTTCCAGATTTTGCCAGAGTTGATTATGGTTGTACAAGGCGTTTCTGTGTGATTATAATTTAAAAAGAGCAGACTTTTTTTTTTTTTTTTACTCATTTTCCACACTCTTACCCCCAACACAGCTGGTTGTTTCTGTAGCAGGTCGTGCAGTTGACCTTTTTCTTCCGGCAGCATCTCTGAAGCCTGGTAATATCGGATCTGACTCGGCAGAGGAGGAGGTTGTCTCCTTCCCGTTTGCAGTGGCACATCTTCCTCGTGGATGTCCATGTCTACATCAGCAGAGGCCATGGTGCTTCTTTAACCTAAAGAAATAAACTCATAATTATCTACACATACAGTGCTGTTTTTAAAAGTTGTGTTTCTTTTTTTCTTATATATACTTTTTTGACAGATGCCAGACAGGAAAGGCAAAGGGGAAGATGCCCAGGACGGCCTCGTCAAAGCCTCTGTAAATAATACGGTCCGCTCTACCGCTACGCCACGCAGTGCCTCCAATTTCTCTATTTAGGTACTTCTGTTCCAGAAGTACCTAAATAGACAATTGCAACTTCAACATGTTGTTAGATTGGCCTGAAAAACTGCGGCTAAACCTTCACTTCGGTAAAATAGAACATTAGAAATTCAATTAAATAATCAAACATATTAGGACAGATTAAAAAAAATACTGAGCGATTTAGTATATTTAGTGATGTCAATGTTGAGGTTTATGTTTTCTGAAAAGTGAAAAATGTAACTAATATTACACAAAAGAAAAAAAAACAATTATTTAAAAGGTGGAAATGTTATGCTGTGTCTTAACAATCTTAACACTCGACAGAGAGACAACAGCCTCCGCAAGAAGACAAATCTACAAGTGTCACTGCTAAAGAAGCTTGACGTTCACAGATCCAAACACGGAAAGAAAAAAAAAAGTGCCACGGCCATGGCGATCAAATAAATGTTGGACTTAATGAGGAAAACAATGTCCCAGAATCTGTCAGAAGAGTGAAAAACATCTACAGGATCCTTGATGCTTTGAATCCAGAGTGGAGTTTCCACAGTCAGTGATGTCAGGGAGAGTCATGTCATCCGCAGCTCTTCGCTCACTGTGTCGTATCAAGTTTAACATCAGCACAGCCGGAAATTTTTAGACGACTTTATGCTTTACTTTGCTAACAAATCCTCTCAAGATACTGATTTTATTCATCAGAAAGACGGTCAGAAGTACCAATACCAGCTTAGTAGAAAGACTCCAAACATAGCAATGTAGATGTAGGCCAACATTTCTATATGAAACTTCATGTTTTGTTTGCTCTTTAATTGAGAAACTGCATGATAAATATCACTCTTTTCCTGATAAATCAATGTTATATAAGAGTTTCGCTGTTTAAAATGAAATATTAAAATCAACAAACTTTTCAAACATTTTCTGGTTCAGTGAGATGTTCCTGTGTCGTTCACTGCAGCGTGACATAGATTTAAGAAAAAAGACTTGACCAGTTTACATATTCCTAGAACGTAGAATGACTGCGTATGATTTTAGAAAAAAGCCACTGTGAATAATAATGGTGACTTTCTGTTTCCTGTTATTTAAGGCTGATATCAATCAATCAGTCAATCAATCAATCAATCAGTCAATCAATCAATCAATCAATCAATCAATCAAATTGATATGATACATTCTTTTAAGTAGTTAGTCCTAAGAAAATTTAGTCTTTGCATTAGGAGTTCTTACAACATTTAAACTAGGAAGACATTTATATTATTGTTGGCTTTGGTTAAAAGGATAATTATGAAGAATGCTTAAAATTCTCACACTAGTTTAGCTCATTTTTGATAATAAAAAAAAAAACGGTGCTAAAAACTGCAATAGCAAAACAACTCCTAACCAGTAGAAAGAAACTTGTTAATGCTACAATATTTTGTTACGAAATTTGCAACACAGCTTTGTAATTAAACATGCAAACAAATAACTAAGATACACGTTTTATACTCATAAACTGCTTGTAATATAAAATTGTTCAAGAAATCTCTCAGCCGTTTTATTAGGAAAAAAACATCCATTTAAAACAACTTACCGCGTTTCACTCGAGCACACTGTATTTCGCTCTCTGTCTCAAGCAAGGCGTCACTCTGCAGACATTATTTTACTTCCCTAAAACACACATGAGGTGATTACCCACTTTAACTTCCTCAATCTGACACTCCTCTCTGCAAAACTGCTTCATTTAGTCAAACTCTGCACTTTTTTATGTTTCTCCTACTGAAAAAGATGAACTCTACAGAAATAATCTCATTCTGCACAAACAGTCTCACCTTTTAAAAAGTATATATGTTTGTTTAAATCTGTTTGGTTGCAAACCTTCATGTGGTTGTGAGAGATGGTGTGGGTGTTGCATGAAGGTGGAGAGTCAACGAGAGAAGAGACTTTCGAGGTCATTTCCTCTCCGGACAAATGAGACAAAGCTGCAAATTTCATGTCTAAAACAGGCAAAGGAACAACGGAAAGGTGACACTGGCATCAGTGAAAACTTTAGTAACTGAGTGCTATGAGCAACATGAGCTGTGTTAACATGTTATGGCTTTACAGGAAAATGAGGAAGACGTTCATTTGCAATGAGTCAATGATCATCACCATCCCAATCGGAAGCCTGAAGAACATTCGGGAGGGTCAGCTGATGCCGGAGAACTTCCACTGTGTGTTCAGGGACAACTTCAAGGTGTTTGTTGTTCGAGGAAAGCCAAAACCTCTGGGGGTGAGTTTCACCGACTTATGCTGTAGATTAAATCATAGCCATGATTCTTTTCTCTAAAAAAAAAAAACATCAGATGTTGCGCTCATCTCTCGAAAGAATCTGCAGATTTTCCTTTGTTCTCTTTACTTATTTATTTTTCTTATCTTATTTTTCATTAGGCAGCTCAAGCAATTGCTGGTGTGTTTATTTTCGCTCTTGGGTTTATTTTGCCATCAATGGGGATCCTCAATTTCACAATTCCAAGTGTTGTGGTAAAAAAAATATTTGAAAAGTCCACATATTTAGCCATTTTTGTTTATCTGATATGGCTATATTTCCACCCAATTAATATGATGTCTTGTTTTGTTAGTTCTTGATCTCTGGCATGGTGACCTTTGCTGCAGGGAAATGTCCAAACATGCATGTGGTAAGTCAGATGAATTATAATGAAAAAACATAAAAAGCAGTTCCTCTAAGAAAAGACAAAGAGTGATTGTTTTTGGCACAGCTTCCATGAGAATAATGCATTAATTTCAATTCAACTGATGTAATGTTTCTAAATGTTGTGGTGGTTTAACTTCATGTAAAACTTTGCAGCTTATGATGCATCTTGTGTTGGACTTACTTGCATGCTAACTCAGCTTTATTCCACTTTCCAGACCAAGCTGTCATTCTCCCTGAACATCATCAGCTTCTTCTGGTCCCTGGTGGCTTTTGGTTTGAGCGTGAACAAGTTTAATTCACATTATCAACTTGACCACCAGGTACAGCGTGAAATCAACGTGTTTCATTGTGTCAAATGTTGCTCTCCGGGATTCTAAGTATTTGTTTGTCCACATTATTTAGCATCATCTGAGGATAGCTCATGGAATAATTGGCCTCATCATAACTCTGCTGGTGTTTGAATGTATGATGTCGCTCTTCTTGATCTACTGGCTGAGTAAAGCTGTGTGCAGAGAACATTTCAACACCTTGGTATGTGTGTCTTTTTCTTCATTATTTTTTTCTTCTATATATATATGAGAACATGCTCAGTCATTAATTTGCTTTGTTTTGCTCTGTAGCCCATCATAATGCTGAAGCAGGAGAACTGAATGATTCACGCAGAGCAGAACCAGGAATAATCAACTCCTGTGTACATTTTTATTCTGCTGCTTTAAACTTTCTTTGTTTTTTTGCTCAAAGGCAAATAGCAGGAAGTTCTGTTTAAAAGAACATAGAGATAAGATGTTTTCCAATACATCACTGCTAATAATGACAGTACGCTATAGACAGTGTGCTTCTGTAAAGTTTCCTTTTTGTTCACCATACATGGACTCGTCTTGATGGTTGTGTGTTAGAACAGCTTTTGTTCCACTGTTTCATCTGATATCAGCACAGCTTCTCTCAAACAACTTTACACTTCCTTTAAGTCGTTTTCAGTTTGACCAAAAATATATTTCTTCTAACAAAGTGCAGACAGAAGCTTCATTTTGGATGTGGGTAATTTTATGTTTTAAAGCTGAAGATTTGTAGAAGCATATCAGTCCTGAATAAAGCTCGACGTATTCTGAATAATAAATCACATCGTATTTTATGTAATTCTCTGACTTTGCCATATTTAACATATTGTTCAGAGGTGTGGTGAATTAATTACCAAAGCTCTTTACAACCATTGATTATCCTACAGAAGCCGTTAGAATCATCCATAATGTTGGTAATAATGAGCACAAAACCGTTTTTCTTAAAATCTAGAATCTTAAATGTGAAGATCTGGTGGAAGATCTCAAACTTTGTTTAAGGCGTCAAATAAACGGCGACCTGAGCTCATACAGAGCATGTTTTATGAAAGAGACGGGGGATATAACTGACTCAAACTTAAGGATTCATAGTTTACGCACAACAAGAAAGAGCTTTTGTATTTCAATTCATGGTGTAAAATTATGGAACAAGTTAAATGAGAAGTTAAAGTCAAAATTTAATAAAATGTAAAAGCAAATATAAGGAGGCCATTTTCACAAGATATAGAAAAATGGGTGACAGCAAAATGTGTCTATGTAAATCGAGGCTAATGCGTGTGAGTGTGTGTGTGTAGGTGTGTGTGGGTGTTTAGACATGTAAACCCAGATAAAAAGGAACATTTATTAACCTATGTTTATTTTTTATTATTTGATGTAACAATGAGGGTCCATCTGAAAATATGTTATGAGTTTATGGAGTAGGAGTTCATGAGTCTCTTACTTCATTTCAAACATGTTAAGATTATTATTGTATGAAAATATGTGTCTTTTTCATTCCTTATTCATGTGTGTGATTTTATACTTCTATCATGTTCAAAATAAATAATTCTCACTTAACTGTGGTAAAATAAATGAATAAATACTGAACTCTATTAACTATTAAAACTTTTTTAAACCTTGAGTGTTTGCTTGTTCATATCATGTTTGTAAATCATCTTGTCACTTTTATCAACTCATCTCTGAATGTTGGTGGTTTGTTAATGGTTTGTCTTCTTACTGAACATAAAAAGAAAAATAAGGATATAAAAATATTTGATGTATTGACGACATGCTACCAATAGGCATTTGTTACATTTATTGATATCTAAAATAAATTACTGTCATCTGTTCAACTGAAAAAAGACATTGTATTTGTTTATAGAGGGGCAGATCTGCAAAGGGTGAAAAGAAGGAAACTGCCCTGCTGACGTTAGAAAGTTGACCCCTAAAAATTTTTGTCATAGAAATTATTCTTAACCATAAATAAAAACTAAACTCCTTTTCCCCAGAAGTCCCTTATAGCCTTCAAATTAATTTATCTTTACTAAGTTTTGTACTGAATAAAACTCAGTTATGTCTCTGCCCACACGCTGCTGAGTCACATTGAAATTAATAAGGCAGTTTGTCTGCAGCCCTGCAGACTGGAGCAGCTGAGCCACACAAAGTTCTCCAGGTAATGTTTTAATACACAAAGTTAAAGTCCAACTAAGTTTGCAATGAATTAAATGTCTGTTGAAGGTGACATACAGTCATAGTTTAATACGTCCCTTATTGGCTTGTAGACAGCATAATTTTTATGAGCTTTAGCAAATTCCCCTAGTTATTCTTACAACACAACAGAATTGTTGAAATATAAAAAAAATAATTAGGCCTGCTTTACCGATGTCTTTATAAGAACAATATATTAATGTGGTCACACAGTTAAACTATGCTACACACTTATTGTCAGATTGTGGAAATAAATAGGCTACAATGACAAAAAGTGATTGTGTGAATGTGCTAAATTATGTCTGATATCTTTTTGTCATAGGTTTTTTTTTTTATAAAATAGCAATTTAAAAAGAAAATGTGACTCACAAACTGCAGAGAAAAGGATTTAAAAGTAGAGATCAACCTTGTTTGGTGGCAGAAAATGCAGGCAAGACAAAAAAGAGAAGACAAGAACTGAAAGAGGAACAATTTTAGAGAAACCAGGAGGATCACATTTGAAGAAGACCACTGAAAGAGCAGCAGGTGAAAAACTAGATGAAAATGAAGAAAAATATGTTAATGTAAGAGGAAAAGATGAGAAAGTTTCATTTTTACTTCTTACAGAGAAAAGATTTAAGGAGGAACTTCATGAAGGAGAAAAGAAATGCAATGATTCAGAAGCCCATGTTCCAGCTAATATGTGTGTTTTCTTCGTAGAAATTTCTGTGCAGAGACATTAGACATTAGAATGAAATAACATTAATTCATTAACAGTCTACAAGTGTGTTATGAAACTAGATGTCAGGATTTACAAGAGTATACATGTTATCTGGGGCTGCACAGTGGCGCAGTTGGTAGAGCTGTTGCCTTGCAGCAAGAAAGTTCTGGGTTTGATTCCTGGCCTGCAGTCTTTCTGCATGGAGTTTGCATGTTCTCCCTGTGCATGCATGGGTTCTCTCTGGGTACTCTGGCTTCCTCCCACAGTCCAAAAACATGACTGTCAGGTTAAATGATTTCTCTAAATTTCCACTAGGTGTGTGTGTGTGTGTGTCCTGTCTGTCTCTGTGTTGCCCTGCAACAGACTGGCGACCTGTCCAGAGTGACCCCGCCTCTCGCCCAGAATGTTAGCTGGAGAGGCACCAGCACCTCTCCAGTCCCCATTAAGGGACAAGGGTGTAAAGAAAATGGATGGATGGATATGTTATACCTAATTATATCAAATTAAATATGAAGCCAATCCAATTAATACATAGATGTATGCAAAACATCATTAGGTCATTCTGAATGTCACTATATGTTTTCAAATATATCAAGATACAGAAACAGAGACAGAAACAGCCAAAACACTTTTCAGAGCAAAAAAAAACACAGTGGCTTCAATGAAACTGCCAAGTCAGACAGACAGATGGGGGTAGAAGCGCCAAAAATCTAGTTTAGTAGAAGTAGCGTTACTTCAACAACGTAATACTCAAGTATCACTCAAGAAATTACTCAAGAATGAAAAGTAAATGTTAGAAAGAGACTGCTCAAGCAATGAGTAACTATTTGATCATAACACCTGATTTAGTTTTTAAAAATTATGTCAAAAATTAGCAAAAGTAGAAAGTTACTTGCACATTCTGGTATTTTAAATGTTAAAATTTGAAAAACAATACAAATGAACAACATAATTACAAAATAACTAAATGACAAGGAAATTTGCTGTATGTATGTACTGTTTTTGATTATTTATTTAATTATTTATTTTTCTACTTGATCTAAAACACTTCCTTTCTTAGATTAGACAATAGTAACTTAGGCGCAGAGATAAAGAACATTTAATGTTTTTTGAGGGATGTGGGTTGTAAACCCATGTTGATCACTCTACCATTTTAGACACAAATTTCTACTTAGAAACTTCCGACCTTGGGTGGCGCTTCTTCCGTGTTCTTACCAAAGAGGCCTCTCTGAAGCCAGGTGTACACTCATAAATGACCACAAGAGGGAGACAAATTCAAAACAGGTCAAGCTGTTGGAAGTCATGAAGTTACAGGTAGAATCATTTTTTCCTGGCCTGTTTCATTAGGTAATTAAATTTTGTTGAACCACAATTCAGAAGCATAAACTTCTCCTGCCTTAAAAGTATTCAATATATTTCTAATTAAAAAATTTATTTAAAATTTTCTTACCGTGATTCCTTTGATCTTTATCTTTTTTGCTCTCTGTCTCAGCAAGATTCTGATCTTCTCACCATTTTTATTTCCCTAAAACACACGAGGTCATTACCCACTTTAACTTCCTCAACGTGACACTCGTCTCTGCAAAACTACTTAATTTGGTCAAAAGCAGCTCTGTGTGTTGTTTTTTTCCCCTCTGGGGTTTTGGTTAGCAAGAGAAGATATTTGGTTTTTAACATTTCCTCATCAGGCAAGTGAGGGAAAGTTTCACAGTTCAAGTCGAAATCGAGCAAAAGAAGAACAGAAAGGTAAAACTGGCTTTAATGAAAACATTTGATCCACATTTAGTTGTGTCTACTATCTTTAAGTCAAATAAATCTTACAACTTTTAGATTTCGTTACCTAAATATGTAAATTAATGAAAGATAAACTTACACTAGTAAGTTGTGTTAGCTCTTTATTGATTCTGTCAAACCTCCAAGAGTTGAATAAACAAGAGTTTTTAGTTTAGCACTTAAAAAATTTGAAAGCAGAAAAATGCAGGAGTGTTTCCAGTGTTTAGAAGCAGGTTTTTATATCCTGTGTTGCATCGTGAGAGAGAAGGAATTGTGTTACATTGATCTGACTCTTGTGTGTTATTAAAGCAAATGTTCACTTTAATGCAACCATCATTTTGCAAAGCTTGAGGATAAAGTCCTTTTCATGCTAAATGTATTTGAGCAGAATTCATTTTGATGTTGCATAAAATTAATCAGATCAGGATTTTTGTTCATGGGAATTGGAACAAGAATTAAAATTATTCTATAGTAAAATAAGTAGTTATTTTAACTTGTATTGTGAGTAAAAATAACAGAAATGTGCACTCCATTAACTAGGTGAGGGCAGTTTTTTCTCACATATTGTAAAAATAATTACTTGGTTTAAATTCTAGTATTAAGTTAAAACTCACATTTCAAGATTAATGAGCTATCAGAACTAAAAAAAAAAACAAGAAGTTTAGACAACTTGTCTCTTTAATTTCTGAGTTAAACCCAAAACAATCTTGTTGACGTTAATTGCATTTTCAAGGCAGCAGGTGAATTTTCATTTTCAAATTAAATCAACTTCAAATTTTTTTTTTTTTTTTTTTTAAATACTTTTTTAGAGGTTTATTAGCTCTAGTGGCCTTTATTTGAGAGTGATACAGGAAAATGGGTGGTGAGAAAAGGGGACATGCAGGAAATGTCATCAGGTCGGGACTCGAATCTGTGATGTTTACTTTGAAGACTAAGGCCTCCACATGTGGCTTGTGCTTTGCCCCTGCTCCACCACAGTACCTCCAGTTTTACAGTGTAATAACTGATCACTACCAGCAACATGAGTTGTGTTAACATGTTATGGCTTTACAGGAAAATGAGGAAGACGTTCATTTGCAACGAGTCAATGATCATCACCATCCCAATCGGAAGCCTGAAGAACATTCAGGAGGGTCAGCTGATGCCGGAGAACTTCCACTGTGTGTTCAGGGACAACTTCAAGATTTTTGTTGGTGGAGGAAAGCCAAAACCTCTGGGGGTGAGTTTCACTGACTTATGCTGTAGATTAAATCATAGCCATGATTCTTTTCTTTAAAAAACATCAGATGTTTTTTTTCTGTATGCTCTTTCACATCTCCTTTGTTTTTAAATTAGGCAGCTCAAGCAATTGGTGGTGTGTATATTTTCATTCTTGGATTGATTTCCTCGAACATAGTCTTGATCGGCTTCAGTGCTCCTGGTTTTCTGGTATAAACATTTGAAATGATCACAAATTAAACCATTCTGTTTATCTGATGTGGTTTTAATTTTACCCAGTTAATATAATGTTTTGTTTTGTTTTGTTTTGT